AAAAAAAAAACAAAACATCATTGAATAACTGATGAATTCTTTTTATTTACATTTGAGTCATTATTTCTCTGTTAATGAAGCTCTATAGATTAATCACTGATCAATCATATATAATCATATAATATTAAATACTAATGACTGATGGTTCAGAGCTACATGAGATTTATATGAATTAGTAGTTTAGTGCTGTGAACAGCCACAGCTGCTCTGAGGCTCTTGGAGAAACTCACAACATAATCAGTGAAACCACACAGGTGGAAATCACTGAGGGGACAGGGGGGGCGTGTCCCCCTCAATATATCATCGAGGGGAACTTTATCAGTTGAATACAATAACATGTACTGAAAGCTTGTGGCAATCTGCTCTGTTTACTGCCTATGAAACCACACTCCACCTATCACTAACTGTGGGTGGAGAAATGAAGCTGGTGCACATGTGCACAGCTCCGCAGTGAGAGGTTTATAAAACAGAAACAGGTATAATATGACAGATTTCAGTCCCAGCTTCATGCAGTTGGCCCCTGGTTCCTGGTCTTCTCCAGGTCACACTCTGATCTCCAGACGTCTTTTATTCATTTAAAACTTGCTCTAAACTACAAAAAGACAAATATGTGTTTTACACTTTGTTTCTGCTGCAGTTCATTTTGAAAGTTTCCACCAACAGCAGCCTGTTTCTCCACGCAGCTCCGCAGCTTGACAGGAAAACATTTACCTCTGGTGTTTGTTGTTTGAAGCAGCTTTGATTCATATTAAATACAACAGTGTGTCAGATGTGCGAGACTGTGCAATGCAAAGCGTTATCACCAAGTATTTAACATGGCAACCAGTGAGGGGCTGTGATGTTGTTTCAGGGTGGATTTATCTGAGAATTCAGAACAGTTGACGTGGTAAGCAAGAACCTTTTTATTTTCTGCACTGAATTAAAAAAAAAGTAAAAAAAGCACTCACGTTGTACACTCAGTTTCTGCAGATAGGGACATATTTTTGACACAGCCTAACGTCTCTGAACACAAACAGACCTGAACGCAATATTAGAAATTCATCCAAACACTCCTGATGAAAGAAACGTACAAAAAGATTCCCTCATTACCATAAAAACCTTTCAACAAAACAAAATACAAAACATCTGCTGCGATGTCATGTCTGGATTCAACACTGTGCAAAATTCACCTAGAATATTGAAATGGCATTCATAATTAAAAAACAAGGCTAAAAGAATAAAAACAACTTTGAGCGAAGAGTCAGTGGCAGAGGAGGAATGATGTGAAAACAGCTGATCGTCTCTCATCGTCCACATTCACATCAAACAGTCCAACAAGAAAACTCAAAGGCAGTTCAGGATTGCAATTCCATATCTACAAAATCTGCATTTTAACAACCTAGCTATACACTGTACAGAGATTTAAACACAAACATACATCTTTTACAAACAGAGGAGGAGCTGCATCAGGCAGAGTATGGTTCAATACAGTGACGATCTGCTGCGTCCTGGAGGTCGGAGACGAAGCCGTTGCGAGATGCAGAGGGTTTGACTCGTGTCTGCAGATGCGGAGAAGACGGCACAAAGTAACAGGAAACACTGGAATGTAATGAGTCTGCCCCACATGGCTTTTTGGAAATAATGTCAAACAGATCAGACACATGGAGGAAGAACAGATAAAATCAGGATTACAGCAGAAAGCAGCTGGTGTTTGTCTGAAACTGAATCTTTGTCTTTTCACCTTTTTAAAAGGAAAGAACAGCTGCAGTGACAAACGTCCACAGAGGCTGCAGGATTTCATCAAAACATCCTGACCATGAAAACCAAACCACTAGTGCAACAAAGATAAAGCATTTCCACAAACAAAGGGCTGAAGCTGAGAGCTGCTGCAGCTGCTCATGTCCATGATTTAGGACATTACTCCTGAACTGTCCTGTTATCAGAAGATGAACTGTCTTAATAATTTATCTTTTTTACAACATAACACTATGTTTTTGTGATGCTCACATTTCTTTCTGATGATGTAAAAATACTCCATTACAATTAAAAGTGCAGCTGAATGGAGCAGAGTGAAAGTGTTTAAGTTGATCCAGGCAGTCACTGGAGTCACACTCACAGTTGAAGTGACGCTGCGGCGAATACATTCCAACCTGTTGCCATAGTGATGGAAATCAAAGATCGCTAAACAACATTAACTCTAAAAACAGCTCCTTCACTTCTTCAGGGAACTGAGTTCGCTCTGAACGTTGATACAACATGTCTCTGAAAGTGACTGAGAGCTACTGATATTTGATTCAGAGACAATTTAATATCAGTTGAGGAGTTTGTGACTTCAGCACCACGGACAGCGTCATGGTTTCACCAGCACTCAGCACAGTGAGGTTGTGGCGTCCGAGTACGGATTTTCATTTTGAAACGAGAAAACCAAGTCAGATTATCACTTAGAAACAGGGAGATAAAAAACAGAAAACAACAAAACAAACAGAAACCAGGAAATCATCTTTAGATTCTTCTGGTGTGACCCACAGACACGTCGATGAATGAACTGGAAAACTCAGTCACAGTGTCAAGTATCTTTACAAATAAAGTCTTAATCCATAAAACTACTGACGGTATAATTGGATATAAACGAAATGAGTCAGATGATAAAAACCTATAATTACCTGCTCTTTAACTCTTGAACATATCACAGGTAAACTAGTCTTTCTCCTGTAGCAGACAGTCGAGCTGCGACAGCAGGAAGTGTCGACAGAATCTACGTCATCACATCATGTGGCCGTCACTTCAACTGTCAATACTTTAAGTCCACACTAGCTGCTGGTAGCTCCTGTATTTCTGCTTTATGATAACCTGAAGTCCTGATCACTTCAAAACAGTTCTGGAGTAATATGAGAGTTAGTTCCCAGTTCCCAGGATAACGGTCGTTACAGACTAAATATAAATACTTATCTGGAGGTGACATCAGCAGCTGCAGCAGCTCTTGCCTTCCACACAGAACTTGGCACAAAGAAACAAAGATGGCAGATCAATGGCACATGGAACATTATGGGCTGATGACAGAGGGTCACTGAGATGGCGTGGCGGTGGGAGGGGCTTGATATTTTTGGGAAAGGAGCAAGCACATTCCACATCAAAACAAATAAATGACTTTTTGAAATGTAGCCAGAACATTGTTTCATACGTATTCACCTGGAAGGTCGAACTATTTTACAAAGTCTGTACAAGCTTGGAGCACTACAAAGTTTACAAATCCGGGGGTGGGGGTGGGGGTGGGGGTGGGGTGTCTCTTTTAGAAAGAAGTGGTCCGATGAGCGTCTGTGACGGAGCCAAACAACACTCTCACTTTCATGATTGCCCCTTCTCTTTCTCTGATTTTCTCTACCTCATCTTTAATGTCTTTCTCATTCACATTCTCTATCTCGTTCTTCTCACATTACCCATGACTCCCTACTGGATCAGAACCGTCTGCACCGTGGGGGCAGGACTGACAACACACAGTCTGTGGTCCATGTTTCTGTAAAACCCAAACCTCCCGTCTGTGGACAGAGCTGCAGGGAGGACCGTGCTGAAAACAAGTGAGATGTGGTTTTAACTTTGTGGTTTTCAGGTGGTTCTGACAGTGCGTGGTTGTAGCAGCGCATCTCGGACATTTCTTCCCCTGTGGTAATATCCACTTGTGCATCTCTGTCCATCGGCACTGATCTCCTGCTCCTTCTGGTCCATCCTTCACTCCTCAGCATTGCTGGTCGACCAATCACACCTCAGTCTGTTGCTGTGAGTCAGTGATGATGGTCACGCCTCGACGAAGCTCGTCCATACTGTCAAAGTCGCTGCCATGTTCAGAGTCGTCCAGCCCGCAGGGGGCTGACATGTCTGAGGCTGATGACGCTCCAACAGACAGTCGCATATTTAGTGACACAGAGTCGTCAGTGTCTCCGTTTCCTGGCGTTACCCCACAAGAACTGAAGTCCCCATGCGGCGCCTCCCCAAGGGGCAGCTGGTGGGGAGGCAGGTATTGGCTGGGGTGGAAGTGCGGCCTGGCGTGCTGACGGCCGGTGCTGCCGGAGCTCAGGGTGCTCTCCTTGGAGACCGGGGGGTTGGTGGGCAGTGGCGTATAGGGCTCGGGATAGTCCTCGCCTGTGGGCAGCGGAGGTGGCAGCTGGTCTTGGCTCAAGAACTCTTCTTCATGGGGTGGGGGGTAGTCACTGTCGATGTCATAGCCCCCCAGGTAGTAGTCTGACTCCAGTTCACGGGTGCTTCCTCCGAGGCGGGGGGCGGAGCCCGCTACATCGCTGCCAGGACCCGCCTCATAGCCGGGCACCTCCTCAATGTCTGACAGCCTTGTGTTGGGCATCCAGTCTGAAGTGTCCCAGTGATATGCTGGATAGTAGAGGGGGAGACAGTTAGAAACAATCTGCACTGTGAAAATCAACAGCCCCCATCAGGCTGAGAGACTGATGGTGGCAGTCAGACTGGTCTCCACAGCACTGAGCTGTGCAGCAGACATGCCTCGAGTCCACCAGGCACTCAGTACATCAACAATACACAGGGGTTTTGAAGGTCAAGAACATGACACGACACCTGTACAGAGAACATGTTAGGTCTTTGGAGGGGATGTGACATGCACAACAGGAGCCTGTGAGGGTTACAGCATGCTGAGGTCATCATGAACACTGGCAGCCATGTTGAAGGGCTCAAAAACCACAGCCACATCTGATTCAGGATGTTAGAGGGATTCACCAAACAGCTGGGAGACTCTGCTGTTGGTCAGCGAGGCAAAGTGATACGAAACATCTGAGTTGTCAGTGGGTTTCTGGCTCCGATGCTCCCTGCCACCACTTCAGCACATGCAGCATGAAGACAACAATCAAGCCTGTGATCAGTCACCAGAACTCTGACCGGACCGGTCGTTCTATTTTTACATTTCTACATCAGCTGTGTCCCAGCTCAGGGTTTCATCCTTCAGATGCTGCGACTAAACTGTCCCATTTCAAAGGCTCCTTCAAACACAGCCTTCTTTTCCAGGACCACAAGGGCTCCAACAGGTGGATCCTTCATGGTCCAACATATCCCAAGATTCATTGCACTCCGATAATGATAATAATATGTCACCAAACAAAAGTGACAGAGAGTCTGAGGATTAGACTGTTAAATGTAAGTATTGTGTTTCAGCAGCTCACGGTACAACTGTTAAAACCAAACCAAACCTCAAGTTCTTATGAAAAAGAAGATATGTGTTGTTGAGGTTGCTAGGCGACAGGAACGGTGCTTTGTGACGCCATAGACCAGACTGCCTCAGTTCGGTTCGGCCTTCACAGTCTACGTCGACTACGAAGGGACACACCTTCGTAGTCGACGTCCTCTGAATGATTCGGCCCCTGAACTGGGACACAGCTTATTTACCTATGAGGGTTTGTTGCACATGTCATTCTGCCAATCGCTGCAACAGAAAATGTTGATAGGGGCTAAAACTAATGATGTGATGTCTGAATTAACCACCAATGACTCAGATAACTATTCTTCTATCATTATGTCTAGAAGAGATATGAACAGCAAAGTGTCAGTTAGTGATGAACATGTCCAGACTCCTAACAGCAGCCAATGGTATGTACCTGGCTTCCATTATTTACATCTGATTCAGTTTTTGAGCAGCAGTTACTAGTAGACAGATAATAGATGACAACTTTCTGATGTTGCCAGTTGATGAAGACTGACGTGACACAACATGAAGACGAGACAGACATTTTGGGATCATGCAGTCCTACATTACGATATATTTTTGTCTCCAAATTCAAGCTAAACAAGGCTGCATGTCTTGTCCACATGGAAAGGGAGCGGCGTCTTGACCCATGTTCTGTCTTGAAAGCCTTCTGCATACAGTAAACCAAGGTGTTAAGCACTGGAGCCAACGATCCACTGACAGAGCATCAACGATGATTTGCATCACGAACGTCGGGCTGACCAAAGAGACAATCTACCCAGAGTTCTGTGGATTATTGAACCGAGGGCAGGTTTCATTTCAGAGCACAGTGAGTGAAGTTAAAACAAAAGCGATGACAAATCAAACAAAAAGCATCAAAGAAGAAGAAAACAAACCATCTCAAATTTCATCAAGCAACAACTGGTACAAAACCATCACTGGGCTGGAGGGAAAAATCCAAACAAAGCAGCATGGTGGGATGCAGTCAGGTGAGAGGTGGCAGGCAAGGGGGTGGGGGTGGGGCATCAAATCACGCATACATCATACACAAAGCTGCGGCTGGGGGAGGGGAGGGGAGGGGCAGAGGAATTTACCAGTGACAGAGTATGGAGGTATGAAAGCACAGATGGGTGAACACAGGTAGAAAGAGAGAGGGGGGTAGACAAAATACTTCCAGTCAGGACTGACGAGATTACACATTTTAATTCTCACATAGACTATCTGGAGTCAGGACTACAGACCTGAGAGACTGTATCTGGAGTCAGGACTACAGACCTGAGTGACTGTTTCTGGGGTCAGGACTACAGACCTGAGAGACTGTATCTGGGGTCAGGACTACAGACCTGAGTGACTGTATCTGGGGTCAGGACTACAGACCTGAGAGACTGTATCTGGAGTCAGGACTACAGACCTGACCAATGGTTGAGGTTTTCAGCTTCAGGAGTTCAGTGTTGCTCTGAAGCTGCAGCTAATTTGATGCTAATGCTAATGCTTCCTTGTTCTCTTATAAATAAAGTTATGTTTACGTTCAGTGTGAGTCACCATAGCTCACTGTGTGGATCCTCGACGTCTGACAAACTGGTTGAGTGTTCGTCCTTCCACATAAAATATTAGAGAAGTTTTTTATTGTTAATTAATTCCTTTGTTTATCTATCATTAAAGTGTCTCATCATCCACATGCACAAGAACCAAAACTGGATCTGTAGAGCTGTGAGTCATCAGAAACTCCACAAGGTAACTATAATATATTAGGTTGAAGGCTAATTAGTGTCATTTATCCACTATAAAACAAATTAGCACCTTAAAGTATCTGAACACTGAAAGTTACTAGTGTTTACCATGTAAATCACAATTCAAGTTATTTTGTCTACTCCCTGTGGACGGACAGATAGATAGATAGATAGATAGATAGATAGATAGATAGATAGATAGATAGATAGATAGATAGAGGTGGGTGGAGGAGGAGGGGCTGGTAGTCACCTCTGTTGTAGGTTTGACCTTGGTCCATGACTGACACTGTCAGATGGAAGAACAACATAACACAGAGGCCTTTAGCATTGGACTGAGTGTAGCTGGTGTAAATAGAGTGTAACAGGACAGAAGGTTTCAGCTGTGGTCTCTCTTTGTCTGTTTGATTTTACCAAGGTAAAGTTTCTGTCCTGATTACCATTATAGGAATGGAGAAGTAAACGTGTGAACAAGCATCTCATCAATTTACCAAAGATAAAAGAATGACAGGGAAACCATGAGCCACAGAGAGCCAACAGACTTCAGCCTACACTTGCGACTCAAGCTGCATCCACACTACTACGTTTTCATTTTAATCTCTTTTCCTACGTTTCCTCCTCCGTCCACACAACTCAGAGTTTTCAAGTGTTAAAAAAGGAGGGTTTCGGAAAACTCTGCTGGCCCTATTTTATTTTGAAAACTCTGGGGTTGTGTCTTATTTTGAAAACTCTGGGTTTGTGTTTTATTTTGAAAACTCTGGGGTTGTGTCTTACTCTGAAAACTCTGGGGTTGTGTCTTATTTTGAAAACTCTGAGGTTGTGTTTTATTGTGAAAACTCTGGGGTTGTGTCTTATTTTGAAAACTCTGGGGTTGTGTCTTATTTTGAAAACTCTGAGGTTGTGTTTTATTTTGAAAACTCTGGGCTTGTGTCTTATTTTGAAAACTCTGAGGTTGTGTTTTATTTTGAAAACTCTGGGGTTGTGTCTTATTTTGAAAACTCTGAGGTTGTGTTTTATTGTGAAAACTCTGAGATTGTGTCTCATTTTGAAAACTCTGGGGTTGTGTTTTATTTTGAAAACTCTGGGGTTGTGTCTTACTCTGAAAACTCTGGGGTTGTGTCTTATTTTGAAAACTCTGAGGTTGTGTTTTATTGTGAAAACTCTGAGATTGTGTCTCATTTTGAAAACTCTGGGGTTGTGTTTTATTTTGAAAACTCTGGGGTTGTGTCTTACTCTGAAAACTCTGGGGTTGTGTCTTATTTTGAAAACTCTGAGGTTGTGTTTTATTGTGAAAACTCTGAGATTGTGTCTCATTTTGAAAACTCTGGGGTTGTGTTTTATTTTGAAAACTCTGGGGTTGTGTCTTACTCTGAAAACTCTGGGGTTGTGTCTTATTTTGAAAACTATGAGGTTGTGTTTTATTTTGAAAACTCTGGGCTTGTGTCTTATTTTGAAAACTCTCGGTTTTATTTTATTGTGAAAACTCTGGGGTTGTGTTTTACTTTGAAAACTCTGGGGTTGTGTTTTATTTTGAAAACTCTGGGGTTGTGTCTTATTCTGAAAACTCTGAGGTTGTGTCTTATTTTGAAAACTCTGGGTTTGTGTTTCATCTTGAAAACTCTGGGGTTATGTCTCATTGTGAAAACTCTGGGTTTGTGTTGTATTCTGAAAACTCTGGGGTTGTGTTTTATTGTGAAAACTCTGCAGTTGTGTTTTATTTTGAAAACTCTGGGGTTGTGTCTTATTCTAAAAACTCTGAGGTTGTGTCTTATTTTGAAAACTCTGGGGTTGTGTTTTATTTTGAAAACTCTGGGCTTGTGTCTTATTTTGAAAACTCTGGGCTTGTGTCTTATTTTGAAAACTCTGGGGTTGTGTTTTACTTTGAAAACTCTGGGGTTGTGTTGTGGACAGAAAGTGAGACCTTTGTAAACGATGAGGTCACAGCCACGGCCTCTCCTGATTGGCTCTCATCAGCCTGGACTACCAGTGGTGATACAACATGATGATGAATGACTGTGTTACTGACCTTGTTGTCTTTGCTGTTGTTCACTTACATTCTCTGTTTTAATGCTACAACTGCAGAGGAGACAATCTACTTCCTGTTTACACCGGCTCGCACAGGCTCAGTGTAGGTGAATGGTCATGTGATGTGTGCATGTGTTTTCAGGTGTGTTGGTCTGGACGGAGATGTGCATTTTAAAATGAAGACATAGTGGTGTGGAAGCAGCCTGACTCTCTGGAGTGAGAAGAAACGAGGAAGTCGTAGTGAACTGTCTCTCAGTGGAACTTGGTGAACCTTCACTGCTCTATGAAATATAGACTGAGCTGAGAGCTAATGCTACAGAGGAAATGACTGCCTGAGAGAAAAATGTATGTCCAGAGCCCTGAAGCTTCAGACAGACAGGTACGTAGCTGAAGACTCTCTGAGAAGAGATGCTGACAGAGAGAAAGATGGAGGAGTAAGAGCAGAGACACAGAGGGGATGAGACATGGTACCTTCACTCTCGATTGTGTCGACTGCATCATTGACCAGTCGAATGACAGTCACTATGGAGGCTTGTGGAGGGAGAGAAGGAGGAGATAAGTTTTGAAACACAGTCATTCAAAGTGACAGATGCTCATCATGGTGTTGGTCGGGGGGGGGGGGACCCCTCACACCTCTGACACTGTCGAGGCTTCTCGCTGAATTTGATGTTTGGGGGCAGTTTGTACAGTGTTGTTCATATATGTGGAGACTGATTACACTACTAAACTATGGAGGAGCAGTGATGTCACAGGAAAAGTAAAAGCATTTCCTTCATTTCATATTTTAATAAGCATTAAAAATAGGAATTGTAAAGAGAATTTATAAATGAACGATTCATTCATCAATAAACTACATAAACACTCTTTAAATAAACAATTTGTAAAAACATTTATTAATTGGTGAATAAATAATAGAGTTTGAAAAACTATTTGAAAAGTTATTTTAAGAATGGGATTACATTCCTGGATTCCATCTTGAATTTCCATTTCCTTTTTCCAGCTGCTTTTAAGTTAGCTAATCCATTAGCTTAGTCATTTAGCATCTCCTGTTAGCTTCTGCTGTTAGCCTCTCTGTGACACTCTGAGCCTTCAGTGGTAAAACCAGGAAAAACAATCCCAATTGGCCACGGGATGATGATTGGGACTCTGATTGGCTGGAGAGCTAACCAGTCATATTGGCTTTTACCATCACTGAAGGCCCAGAGTGTCACAGAGCGGCTAACAGCAGAAGCTCAATGACTAAGCTAATCGATTAGCTAATAGGAAAAAGAAAAGCAGCAGGAAAAAGCAAATGGAAATTGAAGAGGGAATCCAGGAATGTATTCCCATCTTAAAATACCTTTTCAAATAGTTTATGTCTGAATTAATAAATGTTTTTTAGTGTTTATTTAATGAGAGCTTTATGTAGTTTTTGTGAATACATTTTTAAATTCCTTATTTTTATACACTTTTTTTTATTATTCCCTTAATTTTTAAACAATTCATATTTCTAATGTTTATTAAAATATGAAATTAAGGAAATGCTTCATTACTCTCCCTGTGACATCACTGCTCCTCCATAACTAAACAAAGAACTTCACAAAAGCAAATAAAGCCATGTGACAACAGAACAATATAAAGCAAAAAAACCCAAACATTTCTGCTGCTGTGTGTCACTGAGGTGCAGACACGTCAGACTGGAACAAGCACTGGAATGACGGTGATAACTGTTAATATGACTGAGGCAGAATCCACATATTAAACCAACTCATGATGATTAGGGGCAAAAAAAAGCTGATATTTCTGAGTTATGATCATTCTGAAAGAAAAACAGTGAATCTCATGGTTTGCAAATAAAGTCTGGTGACAGCAGCACGATGCAGTGAAGATGAAACAAAACCGAACACACAGCTCCAGCACAAAGACCACGACCACCAACACCACGCTGTGAAGCCCAGACCCTGCAGTCTCTGACAGGAATCACTTCACTGACTCTGCACAGCTGTGAGAAAACGTCTGAGGAAACCAAAGCACAGAGACAGAGACGGGAGGACGAGTCCTCAGCTGAGGACGCTGCTGATGTTTCTAACTGTGACACCCTAAAAAGCATAAAGCCTGAGTGGAGGTGATTAAAATCAGGAGTTTCTGTCCCTACAAACATGAATTCACTCAGCAGTCTGTCCTCTGAGACACCTTCCTCTCTTCATCACAGCTCTATAACTGTCTTTAAGTTTGGTCCTGATGCTGCTGCTCTGTTGATTTAACCAGGAAACTCTGGGAGGGGACGTGTGTGAATCCCAGCATCAGTCAGTTGTGATTGTGGAGATCAGCAAAAACAGCTAAATAAACATTTACATATTTAATATCCGGTCAAATTGTTAAGAAACCATCTGCATGAATATTTTCTCCAGCATCGTCAGAGATGTGAAGACCTGGTCCCTGGACAAGACTCAGGTCTTCACAGGAACCAGTGCTGAACTGAGCGGGCCCTCATTGTCCCACAGACCTCTGCTAATTCACCAGTCACATTATTGTTAAGAGGGTTAACTCTGGTCTCACAGTCTGAATCTGATATTTACAGAAGCCCTGAGAGGCAGGTGATTTTTCTTTCTTCCCAGGTTTCTACCTGGGAAGAAAGAAAAATGAAATGAATGAAAAATGATCCTGGCAAAAAGCCCTGGTTCACTTGCCTCTCAGGCTGCTGTGGACATTTGTTTTGTAACAGATCCGTCTGACTGATGGTCTTCAGCCCAGTCGAGCTGCTGATGTCAGAAACTGACCCAAATGTCAAACTGAGCATCACTTCATGAGTTTCCCTCAGAGTTTTCTTCAGAGTTTTTCTCTCGGTTTCCCTCAGTTTCCCTCAGAGTTTCCCTCAGAGTTTCCCTCAGAGTTTCCCTCAGTTTCCCTCAGAGTTTCCCTCAGAGTTTCCCTCAGAGTTTCCCTCATGTTCTGTGGAGAACAGACTCAGTGCACTGGCTCTGTGTGTCATCATCAGTGTTTCTCCTGTGGGAAGTTCGTCCTGGTGTTGGAGGTCGACAGTGAAAACTACCACTCTGTTTCTCTCCTTCTCTCTTTGCCTTGTTAATGATGTGTATATATACTGTATATATATCTGAAGTAACAGTGGAAACACGAACAAAGACATTAATAGCTTACTGTTATGAGGAGCTGCAGGTTGTGAGCTGGTGTTGTTCTCTCTTTCCATCCCTCCTCATTTTCTTACGTTTCTCTGATGTGATTTCTCTTTGTTTAGCAGCGAACACATGAACATTTCTTCATGTGTTTGTAGTTTGAGCTGCAAAACTCTACCTGCACTTTCACTGAGGAGCAGGATTTAAACTAGAGCTTCAATAAAAAGTCAAATCTCACTGGTTTATTCAGAGATTAACTACTGCAGCAGATAATGTCTTTTTGTTTAGACCGACACAGCGGTTTGTTTGTTTGTGTGTTGATATGCTGTTTGTGTATGACTGGTTTTATGTGGAAGATTAAAGGTAATGAGCATCAGTTTCTCCCAAACGTTTTCTCACAGATCTTTCAAAGCTGGTGTGAAGCTCATGAACCTGGATGAGTCTTCACTCAGACAGAGACACTGAGTGAAACCACACAACAAACAGACCAACCATTTTAAAGTAAGATTAAATGACCCCTGACACACAGAGCTGTGGCGTGTGTGACTGCCTCACCGTTGTCATCACAGGAGTCAGACTGGAAGGAGCTCAGTGATTGGACCTCTGAGTTACTGCCTTTGTTGCTCCCTGAGAAACACGTCACTTCCTCCGCCATGTCCACCATTTTACCTGTGAGGACAGATCAGGGTCAGGAGGGACACACAGACACAGGTTTATTATTCTGTACTATCTGCAGAGAGAAACATTCATCAAAGAATCTTCAGGTTGTAATCCATTAGACCGAAGGTCAAAGGTCAGTGGAGGTCAGTGTCTGTTTACAGGAGCTGAGCTGAGTCAAACTTCACATGCATCAACTGGACCAACGTCTCAACACATCAGATCAGCTGTGGTTATCTAACCTTAATTAACAGGCTGAAATCAAAGCTGTCTGTGTCAGGTTTGTCTGCTCTCCATCGTCTGTAAAGAGCAGTAATAATTAAGATTATATAATAATTATATGATGTCTGGAGTAATTACATTTTCATTGTTCAATGAGAATCTTTACATAAACTGTCAGGGATGAATTCTGTTCTGACTCATCTGATTCTCAGGTTGTAGATGAGTGTTCAGTTAAAAGTAAGTGTTGGGTCTGACTCAACAGACTGTTATTAAGCTCCTCCAGTGTAAAGGTCTGTGTCCATGTGTAGTGTGATTATAGATCAGCTCTAGCTTCTATATTAATACTGTGAAAGTATCAAAGCCTCAGTCCACAGAGAAATGCACACAGCCTGTATTCAGAAACTGAGCCTTAAAACCAGCCGTCAGGACTTCTGGAACTTTGTGATGTCACAACAAAGCAGTCACCAAGCCCCGCCCACCTGGACCCACCATCCAAACCTTGCAGGATTTGGTTTCTCTGAGTGTTTTTACCTGAAATCTGCTTTATTTTTATTGGATCACTCAGAAAACAGTCAGCCAATCAGAAGAGAGAATACCTCCATCAACCTCTGTGGTAACAATCTGTATCAGCCCGCGCACACACACACACTCACACTCACACACACACACACACACACACACACACACACACACACACACACACACACACACACACACACACACACACTCACACACACTCACCCTCGTCACTGTCCCAGGGGCTCTTGCGGATGGAGTCACAGTCTGAGCGACAGGGCGACACTGGCGGCAGGTTGGGGGCCACGCTGCAGACCACCACCCCCCTCCTGGTGGTCCCTGACAGGATCCTGGGCGACTCCGGGTGGAAGGTGCTCATCTCTGTGTGCTCCACGCTGCGCCCGTCCACCATCTTCTCCAGCGTGGAGCGCGGGTCTCCTTGGAAACAGGGCGTGTACGCCATGGGCCTCACGGGGACCTGCGGGGGTCCCATCATCCCACCCCCTCCCACGACGGTGGGCCCCAGCCCTGGCTCTGAGTACAGGTTGAGGGGGTCTCCCGGTGTGCAGTGCAGGGTCTTGAACTGGACGCCGTTGGCCTTGTTGAGGAGCGCGGCGGTGGCCGGGTCCTGGACCAGGGACAGGTTGTTGCGTGAGTAGTTCTTCTGGAAGACCTTCTTGCGGAAAGCGATGAAGAGGATGATGAGGGTAATGATGACGAACAGCACCACGGCGATGCCGATCAGCTCCTCTTTGCCGACCACGGCGTGACCCGCCTGCATGTTGGGGACGACGACGGGCCGCAGGCCGCAGCGCTGGCCCACGAAGCCCGCCGTGCAGTTACAGTAGAACGAGCCGTGAGTGTTGACGCAGACACCGCCATTCTCACACTCTCCCTCCGGATTACTGCGGTCGCACTCGTTCACGTCCTCCTCACACCTGCAGGACGGAGGGAGGAAGAGGAGAGACAGAGGATGAAGGACTGTGCGTCTCAGGAACCTGAAGGATCAGAGGACGACCTGCACTGAGGACAGACGCTGCTGTCACTGATGAGGCTGGAGAGGAAACACTCGTCGTTTAAAGGTTCTTTCACCTGATGGAACTTCACGGTTCAGTCGTTACAAACTTCATCTTAAATTCTACCTGTCCAAACGTTAACAGACACCTCAGGTGTTACGGTGAGCTTTGGGTGAATGTGACTGAAAAGCAGAAGATGAAGGAGACGTCCTGAATGTTTCATGAAAACAATGAAACGTGCGTGAAAGGAATGAGATCATTTACAACCCTCTGAGGTCAAAGGGCGTTTTCTCCATTATTTCTCAGATCCACCTTTTAAAGGGTTCTTGCATGTGACGTAACACAGGTGTTTCCATCACCGGCCTCAGAGCAGTCTCAGCTCTTTCCTTCTTGTCCTTGTGAAAACAAACCTTTACTGATGTGCTTGAATTTGTTTTGGTGCTTGAAATGTGTTAAGATAAAGTCTATAGGTTCATAACAACAGTGCAGTATATGAGTGAAGTGGAAGATACACTTCTGATATCACTGAGACGTCGTTGTGGTCCGTCACTCGGCTTTAACCAGAATTTAGAGGCTGAGAGTCATGTATGACCTCACAAGAATATATAAGAGGAAGTGGAGAGAGTGTGTGTGTGTTTTCTGCTGTCACTCTGAATATAATGAAATCTGGAAAATGTGACAAACATGATCAGATGATGCATTTGAGGAAGCTGGGAAACTGTAATTTATTACTGCCCCCCTGTGGCCGAGAGCAGCACTGACAGTCAACACAATCTTCTTATAGAACATGTTCAACGTGGCTTTTCTCAACTAAAATGATCTGAATGTTCTGAGCTGGAATCAGGTTAAAAGCAGAGAGAAGTTCCAGTTTGTTGGACTGAAACTTTATTTTGTGGATTTGAATAAAATTTTTTAAATGCGATCTTACACAGTCTCTACTCCATCACCTCAGCTGAGCTTGGGTGGAGACAGATGGAGTAAATATGTTTTCAGAATGTTCTGAGCTGGAATCCTTTAAGGTGTGTCAGCTCAGGTGTGTGTGTGGGACTCACGTCAGGCCCTTGAAGCCTCTCCTGCAGCTGCAGAGGAAGGCGTTGCCGATTGGCTTGCACACGCCGCCGTTCTGACACGGGTTGGGAACGCACGCCGTTATCTCCATCTCACAGCGCCCCCCGGTGTACTGAGGGTTACAGCTGCAGGAGAACCCTGTACACAGAGGGGGGGGTTCATGAAAAATTCAGAGCAGTCACTCACACTCACACACACACACACACACACACACACACACACACACACACACACACAGGGGAGCGGCTCTGACATGTAATTAGAGACACAACCCTTCTGCAGCGCTGTGTAAATGACAATACTGGGCTGCGACTATTCCCATGATGCTTTTCTCATTAAAGTGTAAATGAGGAACATGTGGCGTTCACTGAGGCCTGCTGGTCACAACACACACACACACACACACACACACACACACACACACACACACACACACACACCTCTGGGAGCTGGAGCTCTGATCACAGTCCACCTCTGAAACCTAAAACACCTTAAGATAAGATTTTCCTTAAAGTCTGAATTAAGGCTTTTCACAGGTTTTTATCATTAAATGAAAATATTTGATCAGTCCGACAACTTCAATAACAATAGTGGAGATTAGGTTCAGTTACAGTCGCTTCCTCAGCAAAGAAAAGGGAACAGGAAGTTGATTAGAAAGATAAAATATCAAGATAAAATATAAAATATAAAACACTGATGTAGTTCCTGAGACTCACCACCAGAGGGCAGGCTGGTGCAGGTGGCTCCGTTGCGACACGGCTGCTGTAGGCAGGCGTCGGGGAAGAGGATGCAGCCCAGCTTCAGCTCCGTCAGTCCCACCACCTCCGCGTAGCGCGAGCGTTTGTTCTGCAGCGGCAGCTCATTGTTGTTCAGCGTCACCGAGTCCAGACACCCCTGGAACCCCTCCAGGACCCGCGGGTCCTTCTGGGAGTCCATGAGGCTGCGGGAGTTCGGGTGCTGCACCTGTGGTGAGAGAGGTCAGAGGTCATTCAAGAAAATCATTCCTGAGAGCAACCACAGACCAGGTCCACAGTCCGATGTACAAATCTCTTATTTTGAAAGGGAAATAAAGACGAACTTTGATTATGAAAAACTCATCAGTGGATGTGTAGAGCATGTTTCAGTTTTCTTTGCTTCCTAATGAAAACACACGTGTGTGTGCTCATGCATGAGACAAACCAAACGAGGACCAATCACAGGAGACCTGCTTCCATTAAATAAATCTACATCCTGGTCTTCTGAGGGTTTAAACATCATGTGATCTGCAGTTTTAGTTCCAGTCACATTCAATTAATTACAGTCGGTTTAAAACTGTTGTGTTTTTATATCGATGTGAAGAGAATGAAAATATCTTTGTTGACCTCTGCTGTGTTGGTTCAGATCATGTGACCTGGAGACGTTGTGTCTTTACTGAAAGCAGCTACAGCGTCAACAAGCTGGAGCTGAGGAAGGTGGAACAATGACTTCCCACGGTCTGCAGCAGACTCTGACTGGACACATCCTCTACGGTACACATGCTAAACCATGAGGAGCCAACATGGCTGCCTCCGTCTTTGTGGACTGACCAGCGCTCCGAAGTAGATGGTTCTGTCCGGAGCCAGCGGCGGGATGAATGGCGGTCCGCGCCGCTGCTCCACGTAGCTGTCGTCCAGCGCCAGGCTGCTGAAGTTCCTGTTCAGCTCCAGAGCCACAGTGTGCCAGCTGCCGTCACTGATCCTCCGCCCAGAGATCCCCAACATGTTGGGACTGTCCCCGCCTCCAGCTCCGCCCCCCGCCCCGCCTCCACCGAGGCCACAGGCCAGCTGAAACCACAGCTTCCCATCCTCCAACTGCTCACACACACACACACA